CTATCCTCCTTAGTCATTGTCTAACTCTGATGCATAACAAGTGATAGCAAAGACCATGGCCTGTATCAGACGCACCTTAGTCTCCAGAGAGACACCATTGTTCTTCAATACTTTGGAGAGGTCCCTAACAGCAGACTTTCCCATGGCAATGTGCCTTTTAATTTCCTGGCTACTGGTGCCAAGAGTGTTGACTGTGGAACCAAGTAAACTGAAGCTGTGAACAATCTCAATCTCTTCACCATCCATCCTGATGCTGCCAATTGGTCCAGTGGTGAGAATCTTTGTCTTCTTGACATTGAGCCTCAGTCCATATTGGAGGCTGCAGTCCTTGACCCTCTGCAGCAGGTGCTTCAGGTCCTCCTCATTTTCAGCAAGCAGGGTTGTGTCATCTGCGTAACACAGATTGTTGAGAAATCATCCACCAATCTTGACCCCACATTTCTCCTCATAGAGCCCACCCTCCCAGATAATCTGTTCTGCATACAGGTTGAAAAGGTATGGAGATAGGATGCATCCCTGGCGTACACCCTTCCCAATTTTGAACCATGCAGTGTTCCCTTGCTCTGTTCTGACAACTGCCTCTTGGTCCAAGTATAGGTTTTGCATTAGAACAATCAAGTGTTCTGAGATTCCCATTCTTCTCAGAGTCAGCCAGTTTGTTATCATCCACAGTCAAACGCCTTTGCATAGTCAATGAAACACAGATAGACATTCTTCTGGTATTCTCTGCTTTCAGCCAAGATCCATCTAACATCAGCTACAATATCCCTAGTACCACGACCCCTTCTAAACCCAGCCTGGACTTCTGGCAGTTCTCTGCTGATGTACTGTTCCAGTCGTTTTTGGATAATCTTCAGTAGAATCTTGCTTGCATGTGAAATCAGTGAGATTTGTGCGTTAGTAAATTCCCAGTTCTGAAAAGCACACGCTCTGCCTCTATTTTAGTACATGGCAGAGCCCATGTGGGAGGATCTACAAACCCAAAGCTGCCTGCTTTGCTCCCACGCCCTGATTAGAGTAGGCCTGCCTCCTCCCTCACACCTCAGTCTTCATTTTCAGGCAGAAGACGACACTCACCTGGACTCACCTTCTCTTTCTCAGGCCCAGAATAGGGTGTCTGGCAACTCGTGCTCTCTGCGCCATCACGGACGTCAGCCTTCTCATAAGTCCAGGCGTGTAAATATTTGATCACTTAGTGGTTCTATTGCTCGCTGCTTGAGTGTGTGTGCGCAACACACATGGCCTGGGGCACAGGAGACTGGCCTTCTGGTGAGCTAGTTGTTACCAGACTCAAATGCATGAGAAAATCTGAATCCCGGAAGAGTTAATTCTGTCTCATGAATAAAGCAGAACCTCCTGGGCTTTTGTGGAGGGCCGAGCCTGCATGTAGCCAGGGCCCTAGAAAATCACAGCAAATGGCCATCTCTTGTTATCCTGCGCTTGCTGCGTGCCAGTACCATACCAAGTAATTTCCATTACCAGCTATAATGTACATCTTTCAAAAGTCCCATGAGGAAACCAGGGCCAGGGTGTAAAGAAATGAACTGGCCCGAGGTCACTCAGTTAATGAGTGACAGACAGACTCTGAACCCAGATGTAGAATCAGATGCCACTAGAAGGTGCATAAACAAAAAAAAGGAAACTGCTGAATTGAGACCAGGAGTGGGATTCAGGAACAGATGGAACAAGGTAGGTAAAATGGCACAGTGACCGTAACGAGCTGGAGTGTGTCCGGGATCAGGAGGCTGCAGCAGGACGGGCAAGGTTCAGACCTTTGGTTCACTGGGTTGCTATGAGCTGCAGTTGACTCAACAGCGCCTAACAACAACCTATAGCCCAGTTCTCTTTCCTCCGAGTCTTTCTTAAAAAACCTCTCTCTAGACGGGAGAACGCATGCTGTCAGATTCAGGCCACTGGAGGAGTAATTCAAGTGGAGAGAGTTCATAGTAAACATTCCAAGTAACAGACTGCTGTCGTACTTAGTAAAGAAGAGTCAGTGATGAGGAAGATCCTCACAGAGGCTGAAAGAATGGGCTCACACACAGCAACAATTGTGAGGGCGACAGTCACACTTGCTAGTCTGTCATTCAGGGTTTTGCACATAGGGCTGCTGTAAGCTGGAACCAACTCTAAGGTTCCATCGTTGCTGTCTGGCCTGGACATAGTCACTGTAAGAGGGAAATTTGAGCCCGAGTCAGGTGACCATCACCAATAACTGTGGGGTCTAGTGAAATCTCCTACCCTTCCCTGAACCATAGAGCTCAAGGTGATCCTATAAAACAAGTAACAAAGGGCAAAAGGCATGTTTGTGGGATAATCTAGGTCTTGGCTACCCACCTTTCCTCCCAAACAAAAAATGGTCTAATTGACCTCATAACGTATTAATTCATTTGGGGAACCATTACAAGAAACCCACAAACTGGCTTGAATCAAAGTATTTGTTCTTACACATTTCAGGGTGTTTCTTCTCCCCCCACTACCCTGCTTTGTGGAGAAGTAAGTTGTTCTTGGCTGGCTTCATGACCAGCTCTCATCCAGGACCAGGGGGCAGGAAGCTGGGATTACCTGGCCAGGAAAAGGAAGTAGTAGGACAGGAATACAAGAGGAGTTTCAGAACAAAAGCTGTCCCCCCTCCTATGGGGAAGGGAGCTAGGGAGTCCTGGGACTTAGTGGTAGAAAGTTGTGCTGCCAACTCAAAGGCTCTTCGCTCAGATCCACCAGTTGTTCACAGGAGAAAGCTGGGTAATTTCCTCCATGATTTACTGCCTCTGAAAACCCACTGGAGGTTTAGCTATGAGTTTTGGTAGTCTAGTGGGTAAGGAGGTGCCAACCCAAAGACAGGCCATTCAAAGATACCAGCTGCTCCTCAGGATAGATGTACAGCCTCAGAAAACCCACTGGAGGGCAACTATGAGTGGATTCTGACTCAATTAACAGCACATAAAAACAATAACTATCTGTAACTACAAGCAGGGACTGGTGGAAGATTGACTTGATGGGGAGATTTGCAAGGCTCTGGCTGCCTCTTTTTTTTTGGGGGGGGGTCCTCTACATCTTTGGTAGACAGGCAGAAGCCATATTGTCCATAATCTCCATGGAATTGACTAAGGCCAAGGTTTCCACATAAATGGCCTTGTTGGAACACTTGAGCTTTACCTGTTTTCTAGGCCAAATCCTACCTTACTTCCAAGCCCTAAGAACAGACTCCAGTAGGGATTAACACCAGCTGTCTACAATGTCGTGCTTCCCACTTACAACACATGCAAGGACCTTCTGTCTCAATTGGCATTTCTGTTGTTCCCTACACTCGCCACCTCTGGATTTTGCTCACACTAAACCTTTGCCAGAATGCCCCCTCTGCCTTCTTTTTCCAGGCTCAGAGCCTGGTCTGTCTTCTTGTGGTCTTCCCCAAAGGCCCAGGTCCTCAGGGGCCACTTTCTATTTCAGACTCCCATGACATTTGTTGTCTAGCCGGGAGCTGTTTGTGGTATTTCAGTTTTATGCAGACCCCGTTTATTGCCTTTTCTGGCAAGTGATGTCAGAATTTCCCCCAGAAGGGCGGGCAGGCAGGGTAGTTTGCCAGACTATGTAAGGGTCAAGATGCGAGGTACAGCTTGGAGGCTGCCTGGGAACATGTTCCACACTGTAATTCTTGTGCTCATAAATTATCCCCAGAGGACAAGCAGTGCTTATTTCTTCAGGAGGCACCCTCTGAGACAAGAAGTGGTTCAACTGCAGACTCCCTGGCACCGAGGGTCCAAAGGGGAGATGGACTGATGGAGGGAGGTGAAACAGGCCATCCCAGACAACAGGAGCTGGCAGGAAAGAGCCTGAATAGTGAAATTAACTTATGTCCCAAGTGTACTAATGAGGGCGTGACAGCCATCCAGGTGACCAAGGATCAGGGCCACACCTCCATGGAGGCTGTGGGATGTGACTCATGTCTTACACATCCCTTGACTGTCTCCTCTTTTCCTTTTCTCTCCCTGGGGATTTGCCTGCAGTGCTACCCAACCCTGTTGACACAGATGACCTATCTCCCAACCCACTTCCTAACAGGGTGACCCTGGGAAGAGGCAGTACCTAAAAGCGGGGGAGGGGGGCAGTGGGGGGCCCCCAAGATTCACAAAGGAGGGAAAGCAAGGACAAGGGAGAAATTTGTCCACAAACACCAGTTTTTCATAAGAAGTTTATTTTTTTAAAAAAGGGGAGGAATCCCAAAGTATTAAAATATTCCTCTAATTTTAGAGGGAAAAGGGAAGGAGGTTAAGATGATAAAAGAATTCATATAAAAATTCCAAGCAAAATTGTTGCCTATATGCCTCTAAGGAACACCTGAAAGCTTGTACCGCACTGTCTGTAATGCCAGGCACCCCCTGGTTCACCCACACACCGAGCCTCTGGGCCCAGGAGTGGCTGGGACAGCCTGAAATGCTAACTTATTTACTCCACAAATAAATACAAAAGGTCAAGCTTCCCAGTGGAAATGATCCAGCCCACTTCTGTGACGGTTTCTGATGAAAATGCTCAAGAGAACTGCCTCTCTTCTGAAATTCCCAATCTCGGCTTTTCACAAATGACTACAGAACATGAAAGAAATGACTTATTAGGTGTTGCTGGCTCTGGTACCAACCAGATGCCATGGAGACTGCTTCACTGAGGTGCTAAGTAGGTATGAAGTGGCCAAGATGTTTCGTCTTTCATGTGGGGGAACAGCACCTTTCTGTTCTGATCACTGAAGGGAACTGGGCTAAGGCCCTCTCTGTAGCAGTTATTTTCTTCCTTAAGAAAAAAAAAAAAAGAAAGAGGGGTACAAGCCAAGACCAACGTTGCCAAATTGAGACCAGAAGCATCTAGGTACACTTTCCAACAGCCAGTCTCTTCCAGAGACTGGGAGGTAAGACATGGCTTCTCCCCTGAGATGCTTAAGACAAGAATGAACAGTGAAACCCTCCTGGGTTGCTGCTGGGGGTTGCCGGCTCTTCTTAGAATGCTTTCTTTCAGTTGGTGTTTCTTTGAGGAACAGGAAGGTTCTCATGAAGGTACTTAGAACTTCCGTGCTCGGAGAAATCTGCTACCACGTGATCCTGTCCTCGTAACAGCCACTTTGTGGTCAGCAGCCCCTCAAGTCCTACTGGACCTCGGGCATGGATTCGAGATGTGCTGATTCCCACTTCAGCTCCTACAAAAAGAATGAGTTAAGGTGTGGCGTCTCACAGCTTGTTTCCTGGCCATCTACCAGATGCATGTCACGTTTGCCACCTCTTCCTGCCAACTCCTGACCTACCCTCCCCAGTCCAGCAGGAGTCCCACTGCCCCCACGGTCACATCGCGTGGGTCTCTTTTTTGACATCCTATTGCATTTTTAAAGCACTAAGAGACAGGTCTCTCAATCACTTGCTATGCATCTGAGAGCTGGACAATGAGTAAGGATGACAGAGAAAAAATTGATGCCTTTGAATCATGGTATTGGAGAAGAATACTAAACAGAATGCCAAAAGAACAAACAGATGTGTCTTGGAAAAAGTGCACCCAGAGTGCTCCTTAGAGGCAAGGATGGCAAAACTTCATCTCACATACACTGGGCATGTCGTCAGTAGAGATTACTCCTTGGAAAGGGACATTCTACTTGGAAAGGTGGAGGGCTGGTAAAAGAAATGAAGACCCTCAATGAGAGGACTGACACAGTGACTGCAGCAATGGGCTCAAGTTTGTCAGAGATAATAAGGATGGCACAGGATGGTACAGGGCTCAGATCCGTTGTTAAGAGGGGCGGGTCCAGTGTGTGAACTGTGTACCGTAATTTGACACTTAGGAATGCAGTGACGTGTAAGGCAACGTGAAGTATGGATACTTCAACTCCCCAAATATTCTCTAAATCCTAGACTGCAAGGGACATTCTCTTAGTATCCTCTCAGAATTCTTAGCTTGTGTCTGGGCCCTCTCTGTATGACAGGATAAATGACAGAGCTCTTGTTAGTTTTCCTTCTCTCTGGCTCTAGTTTAGACCAGAGGATGCCCAGGGCCTTTCTGATAGTGGGTTCTGCACTGTGTATAGTAGATCAACTGCGCAGTGTTCTACGTAGTGTGCTAGATCTTGTGGGTGCAGGGGTAACAGCATGGGTTCTTGTTTCCTGGGGATTACCTTCTCGCACACAAGGCAGCCAAAGGAGGAATGAATGCTTTCAGGCAGTGGTTAAGAGCAGTGAAGGGAGCTCTGACAGAGACAGCATCCCAGAGTTGGGGAGGGAACTACACAGGCCGAGCCATCAGGAAAAGCCTCCTCTTGAGGATGTGCATTGAATGGAAACCCCAATGATGAAAAGAAGAAGCCAGGGGCCAGGGGAGGCAGGCAGAGGAACTACAGGCAAGACTAAATGCAAAGATCTCCCTGCGGCTGTGCTGGGGGCAAAGAGAGTGAGACC